TGCTTGACAAGAAACGGGCTCCATGCTGCAACCACATACCTCCAGGATTGGCCTTACATATCGTATACAAGATTCTGAAGGATACTATACACAGGTTTCTGAAGGCTGTTCTGATGTTAGCCAGCCACGCATAGGCCGCTGATATTATTCTTTTGATGTGGCATTCAGGAGACGGGTTTGGCGTGATATCAGCTCCCATATCTCCCTCTCTGTCTGTTTTGTGGAGGACTTCATCTCCCATTAGGTATCCAGTGTCTGGCCTCCTATTTCTTCTGCCAGGTTTCATCACCTTATGTGAGAGGATGGTCTCTCAAGATTCTCCCACAGCTGGCATGAATGGCTCATTGCAGTGCATAGTGGACCGATTCGTGCACAAGCCCTATCTCTGTTAACCCTGGATGGTAATCTGTCATGTTGGGTATCTCCAGGATGGCCACTTAACCAGGAATACGTTTATAATACGGAGGCCGCCGTATGTCCAGGCAGGAAGTAGATACAGGGAAGTGAAGCATACTGGCCATAGGGTCAGAAAGTACATTGGCTGGTGTGAAGCGTGAGAGACAGAGGAGACGCCAGCGAGGTGACAGACTGACCTCTGGGGTCAGCCTTATCCGGTGCGATGGAGAATAACAACTGTGACATGGTCGTGACGTGTTCATGACATCACCTCTGTTGCTGATCAGGGAATGATCAATATGATTGGTTCCCGCTCTTTTGCTGCAACGCCGTTGGTCAATTGCAATCCCTTGTGTGTGTCCCACGAGATGCCCTGCATTCTCTTGCAAGAGCATTCACGTGAGTGAGCCCGTACATAGAGGACGTGTCCTGTTCTGTCTATCGGCCAATAGACTGAACACCATCCATTCCTCACCGTCAAGTTAAACTCAGAGTCTTTGCGATATACCAACGCTCGCCCAGAATCGCGATCGTGACTATATTGTTCAGAACCCTAGTGACAAATCACCAGAGCGAAACAGACTGGTATCAGGTAACCCCTGGTGACAGCTGGAGATCGTTGTGAGTGACCTCGAGTGAACTAAGGAGTGTCGCTGCCGAAGTAATCTGTGTGTGACTTTTATCACAGTGTACCTGCATGGTATCATATAATCAGCCGCCACTCAGTCCAGAGCGTGCAGCTAGAGCCTCAAGCCACCACCGCCCTGCCTCACTCTACCACGTGACGTCACCACCGTTACTCACCGCCAGTGCCATCAAGTGTGTGCGTGTGTCTGTTGACATACAGCTCGCCATCCTGCGAGTACCCTCCGTGTCTAGTACGGTTTGTGGGAAAGCCTGTCTCCGAGCGAACCAGCTGTCAGGCTACCTACGAGTTCTATTATAAATGTACCTGAGTGAATGAGTGAATAAGAGAGGTAGCCTACCTGTAAGTACAAGATCTTGTCATTGTTTTATTGTGTCTCTCTGTGTTGATCTGAGGAATCAACCACAGTTCTCACCTTCTCATACCTGACACAGGTATAGGTGAAGACACCCGACGGTGTATGCGTGTTTATCTGTGTGGTATCACAACATTCCACTCGTCTGTGAATGTGAGCTTCACATACACCACACATTTAGTATTGTGTGATATTATTATTGTGCATGTTATTGCCTGTCCCATTGACAGTACCATTGTTGAGTTATTGCATATTATCATTACCCGAGTATCCGGTTGGAACTCTTGTGATCCCTTTGCACACCGGCAGTTAGGTTTGCCGTGTTAATGATTGGCTGTCAACTGTGTTAAGTTAGGTGTTTTTCCACGAGTGGATCAGAATCGATTAGCCAGACGTCAAGAGTCTCGCTAATCCAACCATAGCCTTTCTGACGCCAATCTAAAGTAAAGCAAGCACCCTTTGTATTAGTGGTTAAGTTAGTAAATAAACTATTGGTAAGCTTTATGCGGTGTTTCCGTTGAACCACTTCTGAATACTGCCAACCATTTACTCAAGCCTTCAGCTCTAGGTGTCTCCAACACCGAGTTGCCCATTATTCACTAAACTATAAATGTGATGAGGACCGTAGGAGTCCCTTAAAGTGTTAAATCATTGAGGAGATTCCAACGATCAACGTGGACCAGGACCAGGTGAGGCTAGTCTGAGAAGAGACCCTCAAGGACTCTAACTCGACCTTGCTCCCAGGCCCTGTACGGTTGCTCTCATATTTTCTCTACTGATTCCAACAGCTTCGTGAAGCGTCTGCCACATGTACATTGGCGATGCATTGCAGTCGGGAAAGCAAAATAGAAAACCCCCACACCTTACTTGGGTTGAACTTGAGTAGCCATTTGTTGGACCATTCCTACAGTTTGTCTGTGTCATCTTATAGCCTTATACTATCTTCTTCTGTCTTAATCCTCCTCATAATTTTTTGCATCATCAGCAAACATTAAGAAGAACGCGTTTATTCCCTCTGGGAGATCATTTACATATATCAGAAACAGTATAGGTCCAAGGCATGATTCCTGTGGGACTCCACTGGTGACGCCTCGCCACCCGAAGACCTCACCTCTCACAGTGACTCACTGTCTTTTGTTGTTTAGGTACTCCAATGGAGTAGCTTCTCTTTCACACCTGCCTGCATCTCCAGCTTGTGCACTAGTCTCTTATGTGGTACTATGTCAAAGGCTGTCTGATAATCCAAGAACATGTAGTCTGCGCAGCCCTCTCTATCTTGCCTGATACGTGTCCCTACATGCCAGGAACACGGGCCTGTAGTTCAGTGCCTCGTGTCTATCACCCTTTTTGTATATTGGGACTACCTTGGCTATCGTCCAAATTTTTGGCAGTTCACCTATTATTACCAGTGATACGATGTACTCCATGGATAGTGACAGGCACATAGCTTCTGCTCCTTCCTTTAGTATCCATGGTGAGATTCAATCTGGGCCTATAGCCTTTGTCACACTAAATCTAGCAGATGCTTCCTCACCTCCTTACTGATAATCACAAACTTCTCTAGTGGTGTCTGGTTAGATATTTCCTCTTTTATCTCTGAGACTTCTCCTTCCTCTACTGTGAAGACCTCCTGAAATTTTTTATTGAGTTCTTTGCACAGTTCCATGTCGTTTGTAGTGAATCTGTCTGCCCCCTCTCCTCCGTTTCATTACCTGTTCCTTCACTATTTTTTCTCCTGATGTGGCTGTGCAGAAATTTGGGCTGAGTCCTTGCATTGCTCGCTAAGTCATTTTCATATTGTTACTCTGCCTCTCTTCTCACCCTGACATTTTCATTCCTGGCACTCTGGTATCTTTCTCTGCCCTCTAGTTTCTTGTAATTTCTACAGTTTTCCCACGCCCTTGTACTTAGTTGCTTTACTAGCTTACATTTCTGATTAAACCTTGGGTTTCTCGTCTGCATTTCATTTTTTCCTTTTGGACTGGGACGAACTTGTCTGCTACCTCCTTACACTTGTGTGTGATGTAGTCCATCATGTCTAGGGCTGTCTTTCCTCCGAGTTCTGTTTCGCAAACAATATCTGTTAGGAATTTCCTTATCTCCTCATAGTTTCCCTTCCGGAATGCCGGCCTTTTGTTTTATGGGCTTTTCCTTGAATACCTAACTCCTACTTTTATTTATTTATTTATCTATTTATTTATATTCAAGAAGGTACATTGGGGTTAACAGAGAACATAGAGATTAAGTAGATTTTATTTTCTTGTAAAGTCACTAGCGCACATAGCGTTTCAGGCAAAAAGTATTTCGACCAAGTACTCAAACATCAGTATACTGTGATCACTCATTCCCACAGGGTTTCTTCGCAACCAATTTCCTTTATGTCTGAGTCGCTCAGAGTGAAGACTAGGTCGCGTCTCGCTGGTTCATTGTTTTCTCTCAATCTTGTGGGTCCCCTGACATGCTGACTTCAAAAGTTTCTTGTTGCCTTTTCCAACTGTTTAGCTCTCCATGTTTCCTCACTACCATGTGGTTCCTTGTTCTCCCAGTCTATCCTTCTGTGATTGAAGTCCCTCATGATGAGCAGAAGGGATCGATTTATACAGGCAGCAGCGGCTACTCTCTCAATTATTGTGTTAACTGCCATGTTGTTGCTGACATACTCTTACCTGGATTTTCTGTCATTTGGTGGAGGGTTATATATCACTGCTACTACTACTCTAGGTCCTCCCATCGTCATGGTGCCTGTTAGGAAGTCCCTGATCCCTTCGCAGCCCGAAATAACCATGTGTGTGTGTGTGTGTGTTTCCGTGTGTCAGAGAGAAATATGTTAAGTAGACATCATAGAGAAAAATAAATTGGTTAGCAAGATGGGGTCCAAGAGCTAATAGCTCAATTATGCAAATACAAAATAGTAAATACACGTGACCACTGGGCTCGCACTTGGCTCCAGAAGACCACATACCAATGATAACATTAACTCAAAACACTCTAGAACACCAAATACAATATATTTGTAATATTTCACATTTCGCTTCACATTTGATTAACTTATTTTTTGTTACTAATTGAGATCTCCGTAAGGTTCGTTATTCCCCTTTAACCCGATGACAAATCCCGACGACGAAAAATCACGAACGTATGAGTGAGGAGTGAGAGGACACGATGGACAGTACTACTCACCTGGTGGGGCAGAGGACTGGTGGGTCGACAGTGCATGCCGCCCACCTCCACCTGTGAGGGCAGGACAACTCACCTGAGACAGAGGGCTGGTGGGTCGACAGTGCATGCCGCCCACCTCCACCTGTGAGGGCAGGACAACTCACCTGAGACAGAGGGCTGGTGGGTCGACAGTGCATGCCGCCCACCTCCACCTGTGAGGGCAGGACAACTCACCTGAGGCAGAGGGCTGGTGGGTCGACAGTGCATGCCGCCCACCTCCACCTGTGACGGCAGGACAACTCACCTGAGGCAGAGGGTTGGCGGGTCGACAATGCATGCCGCCCACCTCCACCTGTGACGGCAGGACAACTCACCTGAGGCAGAGGGCTGGCGGGTCGACAATGCATGCCGCCCACCTCCACCTGTGACGGCAGGACAACTCACCTGAGGCAGAGGGTTGGCGGGTCGACAGTGCATGCCGCCCACCTCCACCTGTGACGGCAGGAGAGGCAGCGGCATGCTGATACTAAAGTGGGTGTTGATCAGCGCCAGACTCATGTTCCTCTCCAGGTCCAACAGCGGCGGCAGCTCCGGGAACTGTGCAGAGATCTGAGGAGCAGAAACTGCTTTATACTTTACACAGGTCAGACACTTTTCAAGAAACTGATTAATTTCTATTATGAAAATTATAAAATTTGCTCGAAATTATAATTGAAAAATACAATTAAAATACTAAGTATTTTATTACCAGTATGAGCTACAGAGCAATTTGTGATCATTAGATGAGTTGTATAAGGGTTTTTCCAGGGTTTCCACACCTTACTTCAACTGAGGCTCCTGACTGTAGAATCTTATGAGAATTGGGATCTGCTCACAAATCCCTATAATTGCCCCAATTTGACATAGCTTTGGTTACACAAATACCTAATAACAATATAAAAGTGATATTGTTCATAGCTGGTATTTAAAAGAAGGATTTTGATGCAAGTGGCTTAATCGCTCAGAATCATATTTGTGAAAGGATGAGTTTGAGATTATTCTTGATATTTTTTAGTTCATCATAGAATATTTACGATTTTCTTTGAATTCTGTGGGAAAAACTAAAATTATGGAGGAATGCTCTTCTATTTAAATGGTTAATATTTTTGGATAGTTCAAACTTTTTTTTACAATAAAAGCACTACATAAAAATATCTGCTTTTAATATTTTTTAAATTGCACAAATGGCTGGTACCGGACTAGAGCAAATGAACTCATAAAGCAAAATGTAAACACTTTAGATAATCAGGTAACAAGTGCAATGGGTTATAATCTGGGAAGTTTACTTATCAAGTAAACCCTTACCTCTTTTTGTATTAGGGGCACGACGGCCCAGTTCCGCCAGTAAAGAGACGTTCCTATGTGAATCAGCGTGTTGTGGAAACGATTCCAGGCGCTCATTGGTAACGTATAGTTGGATATGTGGTTGGGAACGTAGGCCGGGTTGAGGACGTTGCCCAGGACGGCACTCTGCCGTGGGTCCATCCCTGGCGTGGCGAGGGTGATGAAGGGGATCTCGTGTACGAAGGGATACGCCACCTGCGGGAGACTGATTTGATGGGTCACTGTGGACTTTACAGGAAGGTAGAGTTTTATGAACATGAATGAAAGAAATGCTTAGACAATAAGAAGTACATTTCACAGAATAAAATCACAAGAAGGTGGTGTTCATTCATAGTTCAGTCAGAAGGTCAGTGAGTGTGCAGTAGTGCGTGTGCTGGTGGGGGGGGGGGGGGTCCAGGGCCTGGATTCATAAACAGAAGTATGCAACCACTTACGAAGCCCATACATCTTTCCTAATCATAGCGGTTTTGTTGACATTTGTTAAACAGTTAATGAACTATGAAACTTCGCAATACATGGTTACTATTGTTACACGCACCTATAACATAGCGCTCCGATGCTCTGATTATATTTATAAATATAAACAAATCTGACCGAGAAAAGATACACAGGCATCGTAAGTGACTGCACAAATGCTCTATGAATCCGCAATCCGCAATCCAGATTGCAGGTCCTGCAATCCGGGATGCAAGTTCGACCCATTGTACGGCTTCATTATTTTCATGCAGGCCTTCACATATGACTATCTAGCAACACTTAATAAAATATATAGTTTAAGGTTTGTTTTAAATAGGAATTTATCCTCCACAAATTTATTCATGGTAATAATGAGGATAAAACACAATAAGTTAAGACACTTCCGTTTTAGCCAACTTCGCCAGGAGGAGCAGAGGTTTTCCCATGTTAAACATCTGGATCAGCCTTGGCAGGTGTTGGGGAAGTCTGGTCATAACCACACGTCGTCAAGTGTCCTTCAAGTATTGATACGGTGATCGGTGCTCACGCTATTGGTGAAGTGAGAGGTGGTCTTAGCACTTAGTGGTGTTGTCCAAGTTTGGGTTAATGTCAACTTTGTGCACCACCAAGTTGCCACACACACACCTTCCCTGCACAGCAACAAGTTGTCACACACACCTTCCCTACACAACAACAAGTTGCCACACACACCATCCCTACACAACAACAAGTTGCCACACACCATCCCTACACAGCAACAAGTTGCCACACACCATCCATACACAACAACAAGTTGCCACACACCATCCCTACACAGCAACAAGTTGCCACACACCATCCCTACACAGCAACAAGTTGCCACACACCATCTATACACAGCAACAAGTTGCCACACACACCTTCCCTACACAGCAACAAGTTGCCACACACACCTTCCCTACACAGCAACAAGTTGCCACACACTTTCCCTACACAACAACAAGTTGCCACACACCTTCCCTACACAACAACAAGTTGCCACACACTTTCCCTACACAGCAACAAGTTGCCACACACCATCCCTACACAACAACAAGTTGCCACACATCATCCCTACACAACAACACGTTGCCACACACTTTCCCTACACAACAACTAGTTGCCACACACCATCCCTACACAACAACACGTTGCCACACACCTTCCCTACACAGCAACAAGTTGCCACACACACCATCCCTACACAACAACAAGTTGCCACACAATTTCCCTACACAGCAACAAGTTGCCACACACCTTCCCTACACAACAACAAGTTGCCACACACCATCCCTACACAGCAACAAGTTGCCACACACTTTCCCTACACAACAACAAGTTGCCACACACACCTTCCCTACACAGCAACAAGTTGCCACACACCTTCCCTACACAACAACAAGTTGCCACACACCATCCCTACACAGCAACAAGTTGCCACACACCTTCCCTACACAAACAACAAGTTGCCACACACCATCCCTACACAGCAACAAGTTGCCACACACTTTCCCTACACAACAACAAGTTGCCACACACACCTTCCCTACACAGCAACAAGTTGCCACACACCCAGCTGAGACGCCAGCCGTCACTGCACAATGTAGTGCACTGAATATGTTGAATACTAAAACACCATCCAAAGTACAATACGAGACGAGAAATGTTGCACAGAATGTAGAGGAAGTGGAAAAATTAATTTCAGCACTTGATTTGCAACATGTTGCACAGGCGGATAGGAAGGCACTGAGAGGAGTTTTACGAAAATTCCCGAAACTGTTTGCGACAGAGGATGACCAGATTGGTCTCCTTGATAAGATCGAGCACACCATTCCAACTGGTGACCATTTGCCTGTGTACACAAGACAGTGGAGGTTGCCGGAACAGGCAAAGAACATTATCAGGGAGGAGTGCCGGAAAATGTTGAGACAGGGCGTGATAGAGCCTAGTACGTCACCGTGGCTCTCTCCTGTTGTGCTAGTTCGGAAACCGGACGGTAGTTATCGTTTCTGTGTTGACTACCGGAAGGTGAACGAACTAACTAAGGGTGATGTGTATCCGTTGCCCCGAATACAGGAGATAATAGATCAATTTGGTGCTGCTAAGTATTTCTCAACTCTTGACGCAAAATCGGCGTATTGGGCGATTCCGGTGGCAGAACAGGATAGGGAAAAAACAGCATTCTCGGATGGTAGGCACACTTATCAATTCCGTAGGATGCCGTTTGGTTTGAAGACAGCGCCTTCGTCGTTTCAGAGGGCCATCAACTTTATCCTTAGTCCGGTACTGGGTAGGCATTCTTTAGCGTACCTGGATGATGTTGTGATATATTCCAGGACGTTTGAGGAACACCTGCAGGACTTGACTGAGACTTTGAAGTTGTTAGATCAGGCAGGTTTCAGGCTGAATGTTCAGAAGTGCACCCTGGCGGCTCAGAAATTCAAATTTCTGGGGTTCCAGGTGTGCCCAGACGGTATCCGACCTGACCCAGATTCTTGCCGCGCCATTGCTGACATGCCTACTCCAAGGACAGCAAAGGACGTGCGTAGGTTTTTGGGGGCGGCCGGATATTTTCGTCGTCATATTGAAGGTTTCGCTGGCATTTCAGCACCCCTGACTGATCTGACAAAGAAAAATGCGAAGTTTGTGTGGAAATCAGAACATGACGAGGCCTATCGCAAACTGAAAGACCAACTAATCACGACACCGGTATTGGCTATTCCTGATTTTGAGAAAGAGTGGGAAGTGCACACTGACGCCAGCGGTATTGCTATTGGCGGGTGCTTAATTCAGCGAGACGCAGATAATTTACCCCATCCAGTAGCCTATTTCAGTAGGAAGGTCAAAGGACCTGAAGTTCGTTATTCAGCTACGGATCGGGAGGCACTGGCAGTAGTAGAATCAGTTAGGTATTTCGAGCCTTACCTATTTCAGCGGCATTTTGTAATCTACACAGACCATCGAGCGTTAACACATATATTTAAAAAGCGAACGAAATGCCCACGAATGTCACGCTGGTCTCACGAACTTTCGGCCCACTCATTCCAGATCTTGTACAAGCCTGGTCCAGCACATGTTGTGCCAGATACGCTAAGTAGAAATATAGCGGCAGTTCAAATTAATGAAAACATTGAAACCATTCCATCAGATAAAATGAGAGAATACCAGATGAACGAGCCTAGATGGAAAGAGATTATTGAGTATTTAGAGGGAGGAAAATACCCCAAAAAGAAAAAGAATTTACCTATTCATGATTTTGAGATGAAACAGGGCGTCCTGTATTATGTTAATAGCCAGAATGATAGGGCAGTATTTCAGCTAGTTATTCCGGACGCGTTGCGGTCATCAGCGTTAAAGCTTGCGCATGCTTCAAAAATTGCAGGGCATCCGGGGATCTTTAAAACGCACTTAAAAGCAAAGTCTCTATTTTATTTTCCAGGATTACTTTCTGAGGTAATCAATTTCGTGAAGTCGTGCCCTCGTTGCCAGAGGAGGAAAGGTACCCTTAAGGTACAAGCCCCACTTCAGGAATTTCCTGAAATTCGTGAACCGTTAGATCGTGTGGGGGCCGATCTGATTGATTTACACCACAGTCATGCGGGTAACAGATACGTGTTGGTGCTAGTTGACCATCTGTCTAGATACACTACACTAGTTGCATTACCTCAGAAGGATTCTCGTACGGTTGCAGATGCGTTCTTGCGTAGGTTCGTTACTGTATTCGGACCTCCTAAAGTTTTAGTCTCTGACCGGGGTCAAGAATTCAATGGGAATATATTTAGAGAAGTTTGTAAGATTTTAGAGACAACTTCGGCTTTTACAACGGCCTACCACCCACAAGCAAACGGAATGACGGAACGGACTAATCGTTCAGTCAAGGATATGCTTGCAATCCTTGCTGAACATGATGCAAACACCTGGGATGAACACCTACCCTATGTTCAGTTCGCCTTGAATACTGCCATCCACCAATCAATTAACACCCAACCACTTCATTTGTTTACTGGTAATTCATGCAATTTCCCGTCAGGTCTGCTTAACAGACATAATGTTGCATACGGGGAGGACTATCCTTCAGAGGTCCTTGGAAAAATGAGAAATGCATGGAATATTGCAGCTGAAGCGTCCAAGAAGGCACGGACTCGGTATGCTCATTTTTATGACAAGAAAGTGCGCCCTCTTGAGTTGAAGGAAGGAAGCCTCGTATTGAGAGTGAATGAGGCTGCGCCCGCCAATCAGAGCAGGAAACTAGCTCCGAGGTGGCGAGGACCCTATAGAGTAATTAAAAGGGCGGGGCCGGTTAATCTTGTTATAAAAGGAGTGTTCGAGGACCAGGTGGAAAGGACAATTCACGTGAATAAATTGAAACATTATCATGCTAGAGAGGAATTAGAACTGCCTTCAGCGGGTCTAGTTCCTGACTCAGCAGTGCTGACTCATGGCTTCACCGACGAGTCAGAAGATGAGGATGACCCTCTGTCATCGCTCATCAGTAGTCAGGTGCAGTCTCGCCACCCTATGGTGACGAGATCTCGCGCTATACAGTAAAGTAACTTCCCTAGTTAGTATAATTTAGTATTCATTAGATTTTCCTGTAAAGGCAATGAGATGTACTATGTCTATACTTGACTCAGGTAGCAACTTTTACCGTGCTCTGGGGTTCCACCTCCACCAAACCCAGAGTATATCTATGCTTCCGCTGTGTTGTGTCTGTCTGTTCC